AGAGGAACCTAGAAAGGACTGAAGAAGGCTTTAAAAGTATTAATAGAGAAATGGAAGATTCCTTGGTCCAACTTGAGATGGACAGAGCAGCGGCATACCTAAGGTTCCAAAACGTGGAGGAATCCAAAAATGAAGAACTAGCGCAATTAATGGCAGGTTTGTTGGCTGATCTAGTTGGAAAAGAAAAAGATGACTTACTCAAAGAATTCGACGAAGTCTATAGGGTGAATACCAGTTACGCAAGGCGTCACAAGTGCCCAAGGGAGATCCATATCCGCTTTTCAAGAAGATGCGTGAGAGACCTAATACTTAGAATGGCCAGAGATGAGAGAGTATTATATATGGGCAAAGAGATCATAGTTCTCAAGCAGATTCCGAGAAAAGTGAGGGCCTTAAGGCAAGAATATAAATTTTTAGCTAACCACTTAAATAAAAAAGAAATTTCATTTAAATGGCAAATTCCAGAAGGGATGCTAATATGGTGGAAGGGAAGGAAAATTAAAATAGATTCAATAGAACAAGCACAAGACTTTCTAGAACAACTAACAACCACGGAGGATCAACACACTAAGGAGGAAACCCAAGGGAACATGCAGGAAGATCGGAACCGCCATAGGAACAAGGAAGAAAGACCCGTCCAAACTCAAGGAAAAGACAACTTACAACAAGAAAGAGTAGAAACATCCCCATACCTCCTACAAGAAGAGAGCCGTATAATTACGAGACAAAAAGCGAGGCAGACTTAAGTAAATGGAGGAAGGAAGTAAAATCCTTTCCATCAACATAAACGGCCTAAATTCAAGAGCTAAAAGGAAGAGGATTCTAAATAAACTAATAAAACAAAACGTTGATATAGTTTGCATACAAGAAACACACATTAGGAAAAGTGAGGAGAAATTTCTAGATTGTCCGAAACTGGGAAAATTATTCACAGCACCAGCAGATGAGCACAAAAAGAAAGGTATTGCAATATATGTGAGAGATGATTTAAAAGCGGAGTTAATCTGGGCGGATCCTGAAGGAAGAACCCTGGTGGTACAAACTTCAATTAATGGCATTACATTTTTACTGGTAGTAATCTATGCCCCAAATGATGATCAAGGTAAATTTTTCAAACATCTTCACCAAAAAATAATAGATTTCGGAAATGGCAATATTTTTCTGATTGGCGATTTTAACTCTATTGCTGACTACCGGAAGGATCATAGTAACATGAGTAAGAATAAAAAAGGAAAAAGAGAATTTTCGAAGCCATGTAAGGATATGATGTACGAACTGAATCTGGTAGATATTTGGAGAAAACTAAACCCAAAAAAAGAACAGTTTACCTTTTACTCTAACCCACACAAAATTTGGACAAGAATAGATATGGCTTGGATAAATGGTGAATTAATTAATGAAATCAAAGATAGCGAAATTTTACCAAACGACTGGGCTGATCACAACCCAATTCAAATAACCTGGAGAGGTAGAAGAAAACCAAAAAGAAGATGGACTCTTAACACTCACTTAATAAAAGAAGAATACACTAATAAATTGAAAGAAGAACTGAACTTCTTCTTAAAAGAAAATAATAATGATCTAACTTCGAAACAAAATATATGGGACACAATGAAGGCATTTATAAGAGGAACAACTATCTCTTACAATGCTATGAGAAATAAAAGAAAGTATGCCCAACAAAGTAACTTACAACAAGAAATTAAGGATTTAGAAACCCAACTACAAAAGAACCCCAAAAATCAAAGAATACAGAATCAGTTAATAACAACTAAACACAATCTAAATTTATTGGAACAAGAAAAATTAGAGAGTAGTCTGAAAATGACTAAACAAATTTATTTTGAGCACGCAAACAAGCCAGGGAGGTGGTTAGCCCACAAACTTAAGAAAATGAAAGAAAAAAGATTGATACACCAATTAATGGACGAGAGGGGCAATTTGCAAGAGGAGATAGAGAAGAAAAAAGAGATCACTTTTAAATACTTCAGGAAATTATACAAAAAGGAAGACGTTTGTGAGGACAAAATAATGAAATATCTAGAGGAAGCAAATGAAAAAGCAATTGGAGAGGAAGAGATAGAATTATTAAACAAAAATATAACATGGTCCGAACTGAAGTCAGCAATAGAGAAGCAAAGTAACAATAAAGCGCCAGGACCGGACGGGATACCTGTAGAACTTTACAAAACAATCATAGAACAAATTGGACCACTGATGCTGGAAGTATTCAATGAGGTACTCCTAGTAGCCAAGATGCCGGACTCGTGGAGGGGAGCCTTAATTTCGCTGATCCCGAAGGAGGACCTAGACCATAGACTTATTAATAATTATAGACCAATCTCGCTCCTGAATGCAGATTACAAACTATTCTCTTCTATAATAGCTAATAGACTAAAACAGGTTCTAAACACACATATCCATGAAGATCAAAATGGATTTCTCCCATTTCGACAAATTAAGAATAATCTAAGAACAGTGATAGACATTTCAGAATACTACGAAGCCCATCCGGAAAAACAATTTGCTTTTATGTTTTTGGACGCTGAAAAAGCATTCGACAATTTAAATTGGCATTTTTTAATTCAAAAAATATACAATATGAACCTTGGCACTAGATTCGAAAACGTCGTCACTACAATTTACCATACCCAACAGGCAAATATTCTAATAAATGGGGAACAAACTGACCCGATAAAAATAGAAAAAGGGGTCAGACAGGGTTGCCCTCTCTCTCCTCTGCTTTTCATATTCGCCCTAGAATCTCTTTTGACGTATATTAGGCAAAATTCGAGAATTAGAGGACTGAGGATTAAATCAGAAGAGTACAAAGTACAAGCCTTCGCTGATGATTTGGTTTTTTTTCTGGAGGAGCCTATAGAAAAAGGACATAACTTATTAGAAGAACTAGAACGATTTGGAGAAGTCGCAGGATTTAAAATTAATAGGGGTAAAACGAAATTAATGTCTAAAAATTTAACAGGAGACCAGAATAAAGAACTAGAGACAATAATGGGAATACAGGTGACAAAAAAAATTAAATACTTAGGAATTTGGCTTACTCCACAAAGCAAATCATTAAAAGAAAACAACTATGATAAACTTCTCCAACAATCCAAGAAAGATTTAGATTCCTGGAGTACATTACAACTTTCCTTATTGGGCAGGATTGCTCTGATTAAGATGAATATTCTGCCAAAATTTCTATATCTATTCCAGACAATTCCAATCAAATTAAATAAAAAATTTTTTACGGAATTAAACAAGATAACACTGAAATTTATTTGGCAGGGGAAAAAAGCTAGGATTAATGTAAAAGCCCTACAAGATTTGAAAAGCAGAGGAGGGTTAGGCCTGCCAAACTGGGAAGTATATTACAAGGCAGCCACCCTACTATGGATAAAGGAATGGGTGAATTTAACTAACAAAAGAACACTAATATTAGAAGGCCACGATATGCAGAAAGGATGGCATGCCTTTCTGTGGGAAACTGGGAAACCCAGGCAATCATATTTCCATAGGCATCTTATCAGGGACTCTCTATTAACCAATTGGAAAAAAGTACGTAAAAAACTTTATCTAAAAATACCGATTTGGCTATCTCCAATGGAAGCGATAGTACACCCTAATAATTTGGATATAACTAAAATGATTAAGTACGAAAATTTATTAGACCCACAAGGAAAATTGAAAACCCGACAAGAATTACAAGAGCGAGGATTTAAAATTGATCAGTGGGTGTACCTTCAAATTCATAGTAGATATAAACAAGATATTAAGGAATTTGGAATCTACAATAAATTACAGACTTTAGACAAAATTCTATTAGGACCGAGCAAAAAAAATATATCTAAATTTTACAAACATTTATTAGAAACTGAATTAGAACAAGAAATTGTCAAAGGAAATATGATTGCGTGGAGCAGAAACGTGGGACGGAGCATTACGCTAGCAGAATGGGAAAGGATCTGGAACAGGAACATTAAGATCACGAAATCAGCAGCTTATAAAGAAAACGCATATAAAATGTTTTATAGATGGCACCTGCCCCCTTCGAGATTGGCGAAGATGCACCCCAACACGAGCCCCAATTGTTGGAAATGTCAAAGCATAGAAGGTACCTTCTTCCATTTGTGGTGGTCGTGCAAGGAAACCCAGAAGTACTGGCAAAAAATTAGGCGCTGGCTAGAGGAAATAACCAAGGAACAAATAGAGTACAAACCAGAGTCCTTCCTTCTAGGAATTTTCGATAAACAAATACCCAAAAAATCGAAGTATATTGTAATTCATATCTTAACCGCAGCCAGACTGGCATTTGCCCAGTGCTGGAAATTATCTTCCATTCCCTCTGAACATATGGTTATTCAGAAAATTTTACAATGCGCCGAAATGGACAAACTAACCCAAGCACTAAAAAATAAAGAATCCTCATCATATTACAACAATTGGAATCCTTTGTATAATTGGCTAAACCAAAGATAGATCATCTCTAGGAAAATTATGGCCGAGGGCCTCCGAAGCAGAGATAAAGAAAAGCACCGCCGATGATACTTTTGAAGAAGAAAGGATCTTACAGTCACAAAATATGGTTTTATTTTAACTGTTTTCCCTACTCTATTCTTCCCCTCCCTTACTCTTCCCTTTCCCCTCTCTTAGGCTTTCCTCTCTCTCCCTCTTGGTCTATGCCAAGGCCTATTTTTCTTTTTGTTGTACATAATTTGTAGTTGTGTTGTTCTTTTAAAGGTAAAACTAATAAAGTATTTTTCCAAAAAAAATAAAAATAAAATAAAACCTCCAATGTTGGAGCACCCATAACTTCTGGAGTCTAATTGTTCTCACAGTCAGGAAATTTCTCCTTCGTTCTAGCTTGCTTCCCCTCCCTGATTAATTTCCATCCATTGCTTCGTCCTGCCCTCAGGTGATTTGAAGAAGAGGTTGACCCCCCCCCCCCTCTTCTTCGTGGCATCCCCCCAAATATTGGAACATTGCTATTGCATCACCCCATGTCCTCCTTTTCACTAGACTAGCCAAACCCAGTTCTTGCAACAGTTCTTCATGTTAAGGGTGAAGATGAAGCTTTATTGAATTGAATTCAATTCATGATGACCGTAAAGAACATACCTTAATTGTTTTCTTGCCAATAAGGTTCTATGCCCTTCCAGACTTTTTCACCTTTTCACTCCTGCCTACGGCCTCTTGATAGTTCAACCATTATCCAACCACTGGCTATGTTCAGTTCTAATTAGCTTTTTGAGATTTGCCAAAGTTATAATGCCATTAATGTACATCATATACTGTTTAAGGTGAAGTAAAGGAAGACTGTCTTCCCTCATGGCACAAAACAGTAAACTTTGATTTGCAGCTGAGATTATTGTTCAGCATTAATGGTGATGAAATGGGTAACTTCTCCTGCCCTTCTTTGCTTTAAAATATTTTCTAAAATCTTTTAGAAAATATCTTTTAGATTTTACAAGTATTTTAAGAAATCTAAAATAGCCAATAATCCCATCCATCAATTTGTCTGCTGATATGTATTCACTCCACAGACTGATACTATCAGGTGATTTTTCATTTTGGTTTGCCTTTATTTAACAAAACAGGAAAAATTAACTTAGTTAACAATGAGGAAAAAGCAAAAGGGGAAAAATGCAATAAAACAAACACACGTAAGAGCTTCTCATATATTTAAATACATCTATAAAATACTACACCACAGTACTCTTTATCACATTAGCTTGAATATGTTTGTCAGAGAATGGAAGTAAAGTTATTTTCTTCGTATTCTATCTGCTTCAACAATAAAACTTTTTTTATGGTTTTAGGTCCTGAAATGGCAATCTGGGAGACATGACACATCTTGCAGTTGGAAGTTTTCTATTTGAACTGTACAGTCTCAGATTGTTTTGAGAAAATAAAACCATTATCTTTCAATATCCTGTATTTTTGTGATTGAGCATGGAATAGCTGTAACTCACTGTTAATTTTGAAAATGGACTGCTCAGTTGCCCATTACAACACAAAGATGGTAAGAAAAAATATCTTTAGGAGTGTTTAAAGTGTTTTGGAGTACATTTTAGGAGTTACATGCGAGAATCTTGCACGAAAAGACTGTGGAATAACTTTATTTCTCTTTAGTCCATTTGAAATCTGGAATTGGTTGGTTTAACTCAAATCATGAGATATTTCAAGTCTTTTTCCAACACTTCACTTGTTTCTTATTTTGGAAACTGAATTAAAAGCTACAAGCTCACCATTTAACTCCATTACCTAAATTATTTGAGGGGTGTTAGAGAAAATGGGAAGTGAGCATTAGTGATAATTAAACAAAGTTGGTATTTGATCAACTTGGAATATTAATGGGATTGCAAAAAATGAAAATATATTGTAAATGTTCCATCTCTAAACCACAGTGCGCGCGCGCGCACACACACACAGGAGAATTATACTTGAGAAATGCAAAGACATTTCTTTAAAAGTGCACACTTCTAAAATCTTATCCTTTCAAACTGAACTCTACATAGTTATCCCAACAGAAACATTTGTCTGAATTCCATTTAAAATAATAAACCAACATGCATACTTTTAAATAGTTCGCTTTCACATGGAGATGTGCAAAATGTACAGTAGGTTAAATGGCTTCCATTGGACCGGGTTGTATAATGAGGAGGCTGAAGAAACTGAATAAGGCCAGTTGATTGGACACCAATTTTCTCCGTAGTAAGCAGCCACAAATGTCTAAGATGGGGAACAAGAACGTAGTGCAAGCCCTTGTAAAAACCCAAAAGTGTGGCTTTGTGTCAGAATCCTGAATTTGGCATTCCAAATTCATAAGTATCTTATTAAGAGTGTTTCCACCAATTTTTCTGATCCTTGTTGATAAACGGACCGAGAAAATGATTCTATATCTGGCTGAGAACTTTCTTAGGTTTAGTTTCCACAGAAACGCCAAAGTGCTGGAAGTATTTTGACCAGTCTTGTCTCCGTTTCTTTTGCTTCCGGAAAGCAACAATACTTAAGAGCACTATTAGGGTAGCCAAAAGGCAGCATCCCAGGAATATGAGAGGCTTTTCCTGAGTGACAAGTAGGCAGAGGGTGCAGGGCGCTGCTTCGTTTCGTGGTCCACATTTACTTAATGTAGGATCAGTGGGGAAACCATTGTTGCAGATCAGCTGATTGTAGAAGTGGACGGAGGCTTTGGCTTGGAATTCGGAGGTAAAGAATCCAAGTTTGGGTTTGGCTACTTCGTCCGTTAGCTTGAATCCAAAGTAGCCTTTGAGGTTGACTCCATCGATATGGTAAGCTGAAAAGGACAACCAATTTCAGGTTAATTCTCTATTTCTGTATGAACCGAAAAGCCATTCGAGAGTAATTGAAAAGAAAAATGGGTGTAAATTCGTTTAAGCTCGTTTTCCCCCCTAAAGGAACAGCCTTCCCTAAATTTCTGCAGGTTTTTAAAAAAGTATTTTGTTGGTATTACTAATATTACAATTAACATTTTTTTCTAGAAGCTTTCCAGAATGAAACACCTTATTCATTCATACTACATAGATTACTTTGGGACAGAAGCATTTCTGTCTCAGACAATTACTGCTTTATTTATGGTCTCTGAAAAGTAATCCTTACCGCCTCTTGCTTGTCATTTCATCATTTCTTTCCCTCTCCTCAAATAATAATAGTTGTGTACAGGTGGTCCTCAGCCAACAACAGTTCGTTTAATGACCAAAGTTACAGCAGCTCTGAAAAAAATGGACTTGCAACTGCTGCAGCATCCCCATGGTCATATCATCAAAATTCAAAGCCTTGGCAACTGACTTGTTTTATGACAGTTTCACTGTCTCAGGTCAGGTGATCCCCTTTTGTGATCTGATGAGCAAAGTCAATGGGGAAGACAGATTCACTTAACCACTGTGGCAAGAAGGGTAGTAAAATGGGGCTTAACAAATGTCTTACTTAACCACAGATATTTTGGGCTCCACTGTGGTCGTAAGTCGAGGACTACCTTTATACCCTATAATAATATTCCTGGCATTTGGTAGGCTGTAAGCCTCACAAACATTAAGCTTTGACAACATAAGATTGTTGATAATTTGCTTATATGACACTTCTTAATACAATCCTACGCTCTCTATTCTATCTCTCCTTTTAATAACATTTGTTATCTCACAATTACAAGATAGAGCTTTTGTAGAATTTCACGAACTTCTCATAAATCCATCCTTCCTTCAAGATGCTATGACTTTCACAATAATCTTTTGTGACAGATTAAACTGAAAAGGCACTTATTCCACTCCCATAGCCAGAGCTGAGTAAGGATACAAAACTAAGTTACATTTTTTAAAAAAACCTCAGAGCTTTATCTTGGGCTGTTCTTGTTCTGCTGATCGGAAAACTGCCTTTATTTATATATATGTATGTGTGTGTGTATATATACACACACATACACTGCTCAAAAAGATAAAGGGGACACAAAAATAAGACATCTAGATCTGAATGAATGAAATATTCTTATTAAATACAGTACATACATACATACATACATATATATATATGCATACATACACACACACACACACACCCTTCTATAGGAGCCATGGTGGCATAGTGGTTAGAGTGCAGTACTGCAGGCTACTTCTGGCTGCCTGCAATTTGGCAGTTCAGTCTCACCAGGCTCAAGGTTAACCCATCCTTCCGAGGTGGGTCAAATGAGGACCCCAATTGTTGGGGGCAATAAGCTGACTTCGTAAACCTCTGAGAGGGCTATAAAGAACTGTGAAGCAGTATATAAGTCTAAGTGCTATTGCTATTATTCAATCACTAGCATCAGATTCTTATGTTTGCGCTGTTAGTGAGAAACAGTCAGCAATACCACCCTATACTTTTATCTATTTTTATCTCATCTTTATTCAAGCACCCCTATTCCTTAAATGTCTTTCATTATTGAACTTGATTTCTGATGACATAATTCAAAGTCCAGGTGGAAAAAGGATAGGATTGCTGAAAAGGTGTCGTATTTTATTGCTCTGACTATTGTTTGGTAGATTTTGCTATATCCAGCTAAATATAATTTTGGATAGAATAGTCTGGTGGGGTTTTTTTTTTTAAGAAAGTTATCAACCGTATGACAAAAAATAATTTGACGGTATCACTTGGAAATCATAGCTGCTGATGTCAGCTTTATGAATGATGGAAAAAAGTTTGCTTTGGGCAGGATTGTGTAAATTCTACAGAAATGAACTACCTGTAGTAAAGGTGGGGTGAGTGGGTGACGTTTGGCCTGGATTTGATGAATATAATTGGAATAATTGTTTTCAATTTAGGGCTCCCCAGAAATGTGAGCCAATAACCCCTGGCTCAGCTAGCACAACACAACATCCTTTAAACACATCTGGAGACCACGGGAAGATGGGAAACCTCCTTTAAGGGCCTGATGTGTAAAGAGCAACAGCACAACGTGCGGATGAATCCTTTGCTCCCATTTTACACCTAGTAGGAGGGAAGCCATGTTAATCTAGCAGCCAAAAATCAGGAGGCTGAGTAATTTTTTTTAACCTATTGCAACTGCAGTCATTGACATGGTACCCGTGATCTGTCTTGCGTGTGCCCATCCTCTCCCATCATCCAGATGCTCTCCTTACAAAAGGCTGTGACATTTAATTTAAAAAAAGGGTTGGCCTGATATACTGCTAGCAGGCTCTTTTGATTCCTGTCCCCATTGTGATCTTCCCATGCTAGAAAGGGCCATCCAGTAGTCTCACATGCTACAGGAAAACCTAACAATATTATTCCAATCAATAAAATCCAATCACCTGTCATGCCCCTGTCAGAGTCTGATTCGGAGGAAGTGGCTGAGCAGCTGACAGGGAGTGGGAGTGTGGCTCCTTTGGGGAAGGGCAAAGGGCAAACTGGGGAAGGGCAAAGGCTGGCTGGGCAGAGCAGGGAAGAGGTAGAGCAAGGGAGAGGGAATTCAGAAGAAGACCCAGGGCCACCCCCTCTTCATCCTAAGGCACGCAG